TTGGGGTAATTTATCCAGGTTTGGAAAGCACTGCTTTATATTCTAATGCTCCGCTTGTCATATTTCCAAAGTCACAACAGACAAGAGAGAACTATTGCCAGAATGCAGAAAGGATTATCGTTTCCATTCAACATGGTTCAGAAAGCCCCATTTTTTTCCCCCTTCAAGGGCAATTTAGAAAGATATAGGCAATTAAGCATATGTTTAAAAATCTCTGTAAAGAACAAATACCTCGTTAAAAAAAAACTCAACCAGGAAAAAGTAGCAAGGAATTGCATCTCAAAAAGGGTTTTGTTGATTTATTAGCTTGCTTAGAAAAGTGAACAATTAAAAAGAATTTCCACTGAGTCATTTAATAGACACATGCTGGTATCAGGGCTTTCATTTTATTTATTGCAATTTTATCTCACTTTTCAAAAGAATAGCCCTCTTCAAAAATCCTATAGTTTATGCAAGTGTAAATAAACATGCAATAAATAGATTAAAATAAATGTTTACAGTCCTTTCTAGACTAGTTTGGTGGCCAGAGTTTTTTTGGGAAGGAAAGTCCAGATGAGCAGATAGTGAATTAATGCAGTCCAGACAGGGTCCTCATGTCTCTGAAAATTTTATTTACAAGTACTGTAGTCCTTGACCTATGAGCAAAATTGAGCCCAAAATTTATGTTGCTAAGTGAGAAATTTGTTAAGTGAATTTTGCCCCGTTTTACGATTTTTCTTGCCATATTTGTTAAGTGAATTGTTAAGTTAATAACACCGTTGTTAGGTGACTCCGGCTTCCGCATCGAAGGTCCCAAAAGATGATTACATCACCCCGGGACACTGCGACCGTCATAAATGTGAGTCAGTTGTCAAGCACACGAATACAAATCCCGTAGCCATGGGGATGCTGCAGTGGTTGTAAGTGTGAAAAAAGGTCATAAGTCATTTTTTTCAGCGCTGTTGCAACTTCGAACGGTCACTAAATGAACTGTTATAAATCGAGGACTATCTGTATTCATTTATTAAATCTCTATGCTTGCCCATATCTGATAGATGATAGACAAACAATAATATTATATAATACTATAATAACAACCTACCTCCAGCAGTGGAAGTTTTACCATTTGTCTGAAATGGTATAGGGTTTCCTGCCTGAGCAGGGGGTTAGACTAGAAGACCTTCAAGGTCCCTTCCAACTGTTATTCTGTTAAGATGACTCCCCGCCTTCTTTGTGACAGCTCCTCAAATAGTGGAACATTGCTGTCGTGTCACCCCTAGTCAGTTTCCTAGGGAAGCTAGAGGAACTGGAGGGACCTGGCCATTTTGATTGAGTCTCGGGGTGGAGGTGTGGAGGCCAAGTGCTCAGAATAGCTGAAATTCCTAACCCTCTTAGATAAAAGCTCCTGTATTCCTGCAAGCTCCCTTTTTGCAAAGGGTTGTAAACATTTCTTTTCTACTTCCTGAGGGGCTCCTTGCAAGATTTATGGGGTGGGTTGGGGGGTCTGAAGCAGATGGTTTGTTTCCATTTCCCTTTGGTATGTAAAAGCCGTCTTTGAAGAAGGAGAGGCAGCCATGCTTGTTGTGAGGCCACAAAGGGGGTCTGCCTTGGACATTCAGCCATTCCTTGAGCAGTTGGCAGGGAATGTGTGTGTGTGTGTGTGTGTGTGTGGTGGTCTGGCCAGTCTGGCGTTACTTATCTTGGGTTGACACAGCAGGCAAATCAAACCCGTTGGTAGGGTTAGGGTGGGCCCATGGCAACCAAATTGAGGATTTGTGCGATTGCATTTGTATTTTTGTATAGGTGTGTCCGGGTGGGTGGGTGGGTGCGTTTCTGTATGTATCAGTGGGATTTTTGAATGTGGTAAAAAACAGACGAAACAAAAAAGTACACAAAGATAGAAAGTAAGGAAAAGGAAGGAAATGAAAGCGATTTGTATGATTGTATTTCTATTTTTGTGTGTGTGTGTGTGTGTGTATGTGTTGTAGAAAATCACAGGACTCAGACTATGTCCTATATCCTATTTGATATCCTGTCTCATATGTGTATTAATGGAATTTTTGAATACAGTAAAAAGTATATAAAAGAAGGTACAAGAAACAGAAGAATATGCAAAGATAGAAAATGAGAAGAAGGCAGTAAATGAAAACACGCATATAATTATGCCTTCCATCCTCCTGTCAATTTTACCCAAATTCCTTTCCTCTGTTTGCAGATTGAGAGACGAATTTCACAATATCATTCCACACACACAAACACACACACATACACACACACACACACACACACAGAGAGAGAGAGAGAGAGAGAGAGAGAGACTTGTGTATCTTGGTACAACTACACTGAAAAAAAGTGACTTACAAGTATTTTTCACACTTAACGACCCTTGCAGCATCCCCAGGATCATGTGATCAAAATTCAGCGGCTTGGCAACTGCCATGTATTTATGACGGCTGAACTGTCCCATGGTCACGTGATCCCTTCTGACAAGTAAAGTCTGGGGGGGGAGTTAGGTTCACTTAACAACCTCGTTATTAATTTTGACAACTGCTGTGATTCACTTAACAAGTGTGGCAAGAAAGATTGTACAGTGGGGCAAAACTCGCCTAACAACTGTCTCACTTAGCCACAGAAAGTTTGGGCTATCTTGTGGCCGTAAGATGAGAACTCCCTGTATCGTGGCTTGCTGTTACAGGCAGTCAGAGGGTTGTTTAGTAAGCCAGAGTTTCAATGATGCAGCAATCCATGCGCAGGCAGGGATCTAGAACCCGTAGATGTAATTTCTTCCCCCTGTTGAATTGAAAATACCTCTTTTTGAATGTTTGAAAGCAGCCGCGTCATTTACAGAGCTTGTAAATGCAGCTGTCCCTGGTCCTCCCCCACCTGCACAGCTGCTTTGCTGTTGTTCCCAGCAAAGGGAAGTGGCTGTGTGGGCACACACGGGGGGGGGGGGGAGAAAGCGAGAGCAGCTTTTGAAACAGCCAGGATGTGGTGGCTTTAATGTGCCCAGAGAAAGGTGCATTAAAAAGGCTGGGTTCCCTCAGTACATGAAATGACAATATGATCACCTCAGTGGTGTCTTAAGTGTGTTGTGTGAACTAACTATTGTGGTTTATGAGCTAAATAATGGCTTAGTGTGATGTATGTTCAACAAATTTATCAAATGCATACATAGCTACAGGTAGTCCTCAAATTACAACCACAATTGAGCTCAAATTTCTATTGCTAAGTGAATCACTTGTGAAGTGAGTTTTGCCTCATTTTATGACTTTCTTGCCACACTTGTTAAATGAATCACTACAGTTCTTAAGTTTGTAACCCGATCGTTGAGTGAATCTGGCTTCGCCCTTGACTTTGCTTGTTAGAAGGTCGCAAAAACATAACCCCAAGACACGGCAACCATCATAAATATGAGTCAGTTGCCAAATGTCCAAATTTTTGTGACCATGGGGAAGCTGCAAGGGTTGTGTGAAAAACTGTCATAAGTCACTTTTTTCAGTGCCGTTGTAACTTTGAACTGTCACTAAGCAACTCTTATAAATCAAGGACTTTAACATAGCCTTGAGCTATGAAAGCTGTTTTGTATTTGAACCTTTGTAATATTTGTAATTGTTTTTATTTTAATTTTCTTTATCACCCATTATTACTTGTCAAGATGGCTGAGCCAGATTAATTGAATAAATAAATAAATAAATTTAAAGCTAGGTATATTGGATAAATTTGCCTTCCTTTTTATGCTAGAGTTGCTTATGAAAATCAAAATTGAACACATCTAGAGGAACCCATGTGTAGTTAAACTCTCTGAATTACTTAGTGGTGAGAAGAAAATTACAGAGAGTTTGCGTGAAATGCTGAATGAATAACATTATGTTTGATTTTATGCTTTGGAAGACACATCATGATGTGTGTGTGTGTGTTTGTGTGCTGTACACTCGAACCTCTGTGTGTATGTGTGTGTGTGTGTGTGTGTGTGTGGTGTGTAAACCACAGTCCAATGAAAACACACGGCAGCCAGAAAGAAACTGTGGCACTCTTTGAACAAGGATTAGATTGTCTTTTTATTACGTTAATTTCAAGGCAAAATAAACAAAAATAAGAACTGACGTATTAGACAGTCATTAACTAGAGTTGAATGGAAGAAATTTTTTTTAGAAGAAAAACAAGACGCATAAAAGTGAACTTGGCTGGATAAAGATACAATGGCTGAATGCTGGATATGATTTATTGTATAAAATATTCAAATCTTATTAAACCGTCATATGAACTGCTTTTAAAACCTCTAAATTCAATTTCTCTGTAAGCCAAAGCTTTCCTTGAGGAGAATAAAAGGCTTATTAAATTGTTGAAAAATCGAGAACTGATTTTCCTAGATGAATTCTTACTCATACTCCCAATGTTGTCCCAGTTCATATTTTCCATTAAACTATGGTTTACTGGATAAATCACAGATAGCTGCATTTACACAAAACTCAGGCAAAATTTGGGGTTAAAAACAGAACTCGCTGGATTCATACATGACCTTAGATGCAGAGGATGCAGTTGTATGTATGGCGAGCACTTATTTACATTTGATTTCTAATTTCCGATTGACTTCACACAGGGATAGCCAATGAGCCCGATGTGGCCTGGAGACTGTAAAATGCTCAGGTCCGGTATAATGGGTGACCCATCTACTGTACATCCTCCTTAATAACGTACCTAATATTCAGAGTATCAGACTATAGTCTGATTTAAAAAAAAAAGGAGGACATTGGGTTGGAACCTCTTCTGGTAGCAAGGGAATGTTTCACTAAAATTAGATTTGGAAGGAAAGTGTAGGAGAAAGAGAACCTGGAGGCGGAGTTGAAAGAGGGATGAGCCTAGAATCTCTACGTGGCCACAACCTCCCTTGAATGTGAAGCCTTTTAGCATTAAAGCAGTTTACTTGAACCTTCACTGTGCCTGACAGAAAGTTAATTTACGCTTGCATTTCTAACAACATGAACTGAAGCATCTTAAATCCTACTCTTTTGTCTCCCCAGTTTGTGGGCCAAACATCGACATACGCAACAGTATGGAGCAACTGAAGCAGCTGGAGGGCTGCACGGTGGTGGAAGGGTATCTCCAGATTCTGTTGATCAATCAAGGAGAGGACTTTAGCAACTTCCGCTTCCCCAAACTCACCATGATCACCGATTATTTGTTGCTATTCCGCGTGGCTGGCCTGGAGACCCTCAGTGACCTCTTTCCGAACCTCACGGTGATTCGGGGCAAAAACCTTTTCTACAACTACGCGTTGGTCATCTTTGAAATGACCAACCTCAAGGAAATTGGTCTGTACAACTTGAGGAACATCACTCGGGGAGCCATCCGGATCGAGAAGAATTCTGACCTCTGTTATCTCTCCACGGTGGACTGGTCTCTGATCCTGGATGCTGTTTCCAACAACTACATTATAGGAAATAAACCGCCAAAAGAATGTGGGGATTTGTGTCCAGGAACGGTAGAAGAGAAACCGCTGTGTGAGAAGACTTCCATAAATAATGAATATAGCTTCCGCTGCTGGACTTCCAACCACTGCCAGAAAAGTAAGAGTTAATTGATGGTTCAATTTTAACTAATAACGCTGTCACCTGTGTAATAACACACACTCACAAAAATGCATACGTTGTCTTCTCCAACTTGGATCAGGGGTGTCCAACTGTGGCAACTTTAAAACCTGGGATTTGAAGTCCACAGGTCTTCAAGTTGCCATGTTGGACACTCCTGCATTAGATGCACAGGTAATCCTTGACTTACAACAGTTTGTTTAGTGACCATTTGAAGTTACAACAGCACTGAAAAAAGTAACTTACAACCATTTTTCACACTTACAACCATTACAGCACCCCTATGGTCACGTGTTCAAAATTCAAATGCTTGGCAACTGATTTATGCCGGTTGCCGTGTCCTGGGGTCATGTGATCCCCTTTTGTGACTTTCTGACAAACAAGTCAGCGGGGAAGCACAACCGGGTACTAACTTAACAACTGCAGCGATTCACTTAACAACTGTGTCAAGAAAATGGGACAGAGCTCACTTAACAAATTTCTTACTTAGCAACATAAATTCTGAGCTCAATTGTGGTTGTAAGTCAAGGGCTACCTGTATTGGAACTGTAATTCCCAGGTTCCCAGTGAGCATTAATTTATTTATTAGATGTTTATATATCCTGTTTTTTTATTGCTTTATAAGTATTGCCATGTTATTTGGTAGTTACCTTCCCATCATCTGGTGTGTTTTGTGTTGGGCAAGGTTCCTGGGATAAATTTTATGCTGAGTGTACTATATTAGCGTTGATTTAGAATGTGAATTTAGAAAAAGAAATTCTTTTAAAGCATCATGCACGGGGGTTAAAATTGTCTGCAGTAAGCCAGCTTCTCTGGGTTGCCATTTTGAACTAGGAATTTTATGAAAGCATATACAAGATAGCAATCTTCCTTTATTATATTTGCATTTATTTTTGTTCTGTAAGGCAATTCAAGGTGATCTGTAGAAACCAGCTCCTATCTTGACCTGTTTAACTTCAGCAAATGCTCGTTGGGATCAAGCGCCCTTGAAGTGTCCCATTTGGGCCTGCAAATAAATAATAGTGTGTTAGAATCGTGCATCAATATGAGTCACTTGCCAAGAGTCTGAATTTTGTTCTCGTGACCATGGGAAGGCTGCAGTGGTCCTAAATGTGAAAAATGGTCATAAGTCAATTTTTCAGTGCTGTTGTAACTTCAGACGGTCACTAAAGGACATGATTGCAGCTTGGGTTCACATTTATGACAGTTGCAACGTCTTGTGATCACGTCATCTCCCCAGCTAGCTTCTGACTAGCAGAGTCAGTTGGGGAAACTGGATCCATTTAACGATGGCGTGATTCCTTTAATGACCCAAAGTAAAAATGATTATAAAATTGGGGTCTAGTTCCGCGAGGATTTCTTTAACAACATCATCACTTAGCAACCTAAATTCCTGTCCCAACTCTGGTCGTAAGACGAGGACCGCCTGTAGCTTTGTCTATGTTGTGAGATCTTGGTACAATGGAGTGTGGATGTAATGTATCTTGCCAGTCACTGGTGGGTAGTTTTGTTTTCCGGGATGTTTTCAAAGTTTGCCCTGTAATTGTCTTTAATGTGTACGTGTGAGAGAGCCGAAAGAGAGGGATGTCTCAACCGCAGACCAGAGAGTGGTTAGGATACAACTGTGATCTTGTATAGCTCTGAAATTATCTGCCCATAAGCTCTCCTCTTCCCTCTTTTGATTTCTCTTGAAAAGAATAGCCTCATGGAACCTGAGATCCAGCAACATGACCCAGCGCTAAGGACACAAGGTGTTGAGAAACTGGCATTCATAACGTTTCCACATATACGAATCCAATCCAGGTTATCAGCTCACTTTCAATCAAAGCACTTGAGGCTAGAAATGTTTCTTGGATAAATATTATCTCTCTCCCTTTCTCTCCCTTTCTCTCCCTCTCTCTCTCCCTCTCTCTCCCTCTCCCTCTCTCTCTCTCTCTCTCTCTCTCCCTCTCTCTCCCTCTCTCTCCCTCTCTCTCTCTCTCTCTCTCTCTCTCTCTCTCTCTCTCTCTCTCTGTGTGTGTGGTTGTGTGTGTGTGTGTGTGTGTGTTTAATGTCATTGTTATGACCAGAAACACACTGCAGTCTTGTTCTTACTGGTGAGGTTTTAATCCAAGGAAAACCAAGAAAAGCAAAAGAAATAATTGGGCTGGGTTTTCAACAAGCCATTTTGGGGATGGGCACGTGGAGAGAGACGTCCATCTAGTCTCTCTTTGGAGATTGGCGATCCTTCATTCTCTTCATGAAATGGAAACTCTGCTTTGGTGTCTAATAGCAGAGAGCTGCCAACGGGCATTTTGGGCAAAGCCCCTTTTATTTAGGGATGCAGATTTAACTCGTGTGGTGAAAAACAAAGTTGGAGGCTGTCCTTTCTCAGTAGAAGCGAACCTTTGTAGCACAGGTTGAACTTTGGGGTCCTTGGTGCTCTCTGAGCTTGGTGGTTTTCTTGCAGACCTTTCATGACCCAACTAGGTAATGTTATCAGTGCTAGAAGGGAGGGGGGTTTGGTTTCTCTTTACAAATGGTTTGCCTTGCCAGGGTTAGTTGGAGTGTGGTTGATTAGGGAACTAACTAATTAGAGAACTTTAGCTGAGGAATCCTTGGTGCTTTCGGAGCTTGGTGGTTTTCTTGCAGGTGTTTTATCACCCAGCTAGGTAACACCATCAGTGCTAAAAAGGAGTGGGGTTTAGTCTCAAACTATTTAGGTAATGAAATGTCTGCAAGAAAAATACAGGCAAGGAAAGGCCAAGAGTTCAGACAATATTTTTTACAGGAAAATAGGTAAGTGTAAAACAAAATGTGTGGTCCCTGCATCTCAACAAAAATCCTTTGGCTATTTCCATTTCCATTTCCATCTGTATAAAATAAGGTTAACAAGTTCCATTTATCTTAGCACATGAAAAAGCTGCCAATGAGATGTTCTTTCCATTCTTAAAATACACTGTCAATGTAAGTCAACTTCTTCAAATCCATAGCAAGAAAACAGATTCGGCTCTAGTCTCACACTTAGACTGAACATGTTCTCCAAATCAGACACCCAGGAGACCCCAAAATATCTGCCTTTATTAATGCTAACTTGCCTTAAATAAAGGATTGTGGACTCCTTGATGCTCTCTGGGCTTAGCTGTTTTAAATATCACCCAGTAGTTTTTCATTGATCCATTTTCAGACGGATAGACCGAAAATAAAGATGAACAATTCAGTATACACAAAACAAAAAAAAAGAAATTCAACATTATAGAAGCACAACCAATAGAACACAGTCAAACTAGAGTCTTGGACTTCAAGAGAGCTAATTTCAATAAACTTAGAGAGGGCTTGGGAAGGATTCCATGGATGAGAATCCTCAAGGGGAAAACAACTCAAGAAGCTTGGGAAATTTTGAAAAATGAGATAATAAAAGCACAGTCTAGCACAATACCAACAAAGAGGAAAAATAACAGCTCTCAAAAGAAACCAGCATGGCTGCATAAAGAACTCTCTGACAAATTGAAAGATAAAAAGGACAAGTATAGAAAGTGGAAAGAGGGGAACATAACTAAGTCAGAATATCAGCAAATAGCCCGAGCCTGCAAAGATGAAGTGAAGAAAGCCAAGGCTCAAAATGAACTGAGGCTTGCGACCAAAGTCAAAAATAACAAAAAAAGCTTCTTTCAACATGTAAAAAACAAGAAAAAAGTGAAGGAAATGATTGGTCCATTAGTGGGTGGAAGTGGCAAGAAGGTGACAAGCAACAGGGAGAAAGCAGAACTATTTAACTCATTTTTTGCATCTGTCTTTACACAAAGGGAAAAAACAGACCAACCTATCAAAAATAGTGCCACAAAAAACAAAACAGAAACACAAGTTAAGATAGGCAAGAAAATCGTTAGTGAGCACCTGTCCAGCCTAGATGAGTTCAAATCGCCAGGACCAGACGGATTACACCCCAGAGTTCTCAAGGAACTGGCAGATGTGATATCGGAGCCACTGAACTATATTTTTCAAAGATCCTGGAACACAGGGGAACTACCAGAGGACTGGAAAAGAGCTGATGTAGTTCCCATCCTCAAAAAAGGAAAAAAAATGGATCCAGGAAATTACAGACCTATCAGCCTGACCTCAATACCTGGGAAGATCCTGGAAAAGATAATCAAACAACGAATCAACGAACACCTAGAGGCAAACAAAGTCATTACTAAAAGCCAACATGGGTTTGTCAAAAATAGATCATGCCAGACAAATCTTATTGCATTCTTTGACCAAGTGACAAAATTAGTGGATCAGAGGAATGCTGTGGACATAATTTACTTGGACTTCAGTAAGGCATTTGATAAAGTAGATCACAACCTACTACTTGACAAGATAGAAAAATGTGGGGTAGACAGAACCACCACCAGATGGATCCGTAGCTGGCTGACCGGCCGTACTCAGCGAGTGGTCCTCAATGGAACTGCATCTATATGGAGGGAAGTGTGTAGTGGGGTGCCCCAGGGCTCTGTTCTGGGCCCAGTACTCTTCAACATCTTCATCAACGATTTGGATGAAGGGATAGATGGGGAACTCATCAAATTTGCAGACGACACCAAGCTGGCAGGAATAGCCAACACTCCAGAAGACAGGCTTCAGATACAGAAGGATCTGGACAGACTTGAACACTGGGCACTAACTAACAAAATGAAATTCAATGGTGAAAAAAGCAAGGTTCTACATTTAGGCAAGAAAAACCAAATGCACAAGTACAGCATAGGTGGCACCATGCTCAATAGTAGTAACTGTGAGAGGGACCTCGGAGTCCTAGTAGACAATCACTTAAATATGAGCCAGCAGTGTGCTGCAGCTGCCAAAAAGGCCAACACAGTGCTAGGCTGCATTAACAGAGGGATAGAATCAAGATCACGTGAAGTATTAATACCACTCTTCAATGCCTTGGTAAGGCCACACTTGGAATACTGCATCCAGTTTTGGTCACCACGATGTAAAAAAGATGTTGAGACTCTAGA